TTGCATGGCACCTTTTTGCTATTATATTAATCTGCAGTTTCTTCCTTTTTGGCTTTTCTTCTTTCCTTTTCACTTTATGGCTTTGTTTCAATACTATCCAATATACTTGTTGCCTAATCAGATTTAAGCATGACTGACTGAGACAGTGAATCTGCAGTACACACAGGACAGTAATCCAGCTGTACCTAGTTTAGACTGACTGCACTTTATTGTAATATTGCTGATGGCAATACAATCATATTAGAGGAAGAGATGGAGAGCTGAAATGGTTATTTTTCAGAAATAGTTGGCATTATAGAATTGTTTGATAATAAAGTACAAAACCTTCCTGAAGCAATAAAAGTACCATGCATTTCCCATGCATAGATAGGCATAACAGCACAGAGTTGCCCGTGTTTCCTCTTTTGGAAAAAAGAAGATGAGAACTACAAAATACCTTTGTACCACACAGTACTTTTTATTCCACTCAAAGAGAAAGCAAAAGTAATGTTATGAACTCTAGAAAAGAGTGGAAAGTCTACGGAAGCCTTTATATATTCTGTTGCTGGAAGTTTATTAAGGAAAGTACCACTTAGAACTCATCTAGATGCTGTAATGTTAAAAAGTCATAATCATAGAATCATAGAATAGTTAGGGTTGGAAAGGACCATGACATCATCAAGTTCCAACCACCCTGTCATGGGCAGGGACACCTCACACTAAACCATGCCACCCAAGGCTCTGTCCAGCCTGGTCTTGAACACCACCAGGGATGGAGCATTCACAACCTCCCTGAGCAACCCATTCCAGTGCCTCACCACCCTTACAGGAAAAAACTTCCTCCTTATATCCAACCTAAACTTCACCTGGTTAAGTTTTAACCCGTTATCCGTTGTCCTATCACTGCAGTCCCTGATGAAGAGTCCCTCTCCAGAATCCTTTTAGGCCCCCTTCAGATACTGGAAGGCTGCTAGGAGGTCTCCACGCAGCCTTCTCTTCTCCAGGCTGAACAGCCCCAACTTTCTCAGCCTATCTTCATAAGGGAGGTGCTCCAGTCCCCTGATCATCCTCATGGCCCTCCTCTGGACTTTTTCCAACTATTCCATACCCCTTTCATGTTGAGGACACCATAACTGTACACAATACTCCAAGTGAGGTCTCAAATGTTATCAGCAATAATGCTAAATGTCATAATGTCATGATGTTAGAAGTCAGGCTGGATACCAAATAAACGCATCATAGCATCAGCAGGACCAACAGCATGGTTCAAAATCTGTCTTGTTTTGTAGACCAGATTAAAGACTATAGCTTTATCTGTAATTAGTATAAAGGAGTGGCTTAGAATGGCCACTTCAAGTGGCACTTCAGGTGCTTCATAGAATCTATACCTCAACCCCATTCAAAAGGGAAGTGAGAAAGCAGAAAGGTTATATATCTTGAATTTGATTTGGTGGAAGCAAACTGAGAACATGAACAGATTTCAACTGTAAAGCCTACTACTGTTTTAACAATCTAACAATCGGAGATTGTGCAAAGCATTAATCAGTACACATGCAGTCATTTCTCATTTTTGAGGTTAAGATTTTCCCTGCTCTTTGAAATGATGCAGCTTCTACGCAAACAGATTTCATTCAAGTTGTTCTGTCCAGACAACTTGGCTCTCAAATATCTTAGCTACAAGAACATTACAATAAAACTGTTAGACCTGCAGTTCACCTCTTACAACTCTGTTACAGACTGCGAGAACAGATTAAAATGCATTAGGTACATTCCACATAGTCTCCACTGGTTTTATGTCCTTCTCAGAAAATATTTCAGCAACTACTTTTCAAATCCAAGTACTGCAATAGCTTCCCACGCACTTGTCATTTGGGGCTGATATTAAAGAAAAACTGTGTCTTTACTCTCTTCCAAACATGCTAGCCTCAGCAACAAGACAGTAATTTCAAAGAATCATACAATCATAGACTGATTTTGGCTGGAAGAGACATTAAAGATCATCTGGTTCCAAGCCCCCTGCCATGGGCAGGGACACCTTCCATCAGATGAGGTTGCTTAAAGCCTGATCAAACATGGCTAATTTCTAACATAACTATTAATTGCATATTGACATTGTGTAATCTTCAGCTTCTTTTTCAGTCTTATTTGGTCAGTTCTTGGTGAGAAAGTGAGAATATGTGCTACATTTTTTCAGCTCTTTTCATGTGCTACATATTTTCAGCTATTTTTCAGCTCTTTTCAGTATGAGAGAGAGCATATCTGAAGCTGTACTGTATGCACCTATGGAAATCTTGTTGTAACATAGGTACAAGTAGCAAACTGTCCCATGGACAGGGCATGCATGTCCTCAACAATATTATACAGGTGGTGCCATATTTAGCAACAACTGTTTTCCTCTCCATTTCATCCTGCTGAAGAACTTCATACATACTGTTGGCTTACATACATATTCAATCACCTCTCTCACTAGTTATTAACATGACACAGTTTCTGGAACAGCCAATCTCTTTAATCTTTCTTAAATTTGCAAGATAAATCAAAGAAAAAAATATTATAAAAGATTAAATTGGTGAAATAACGAAACTGCAAGCACCATTGACAATCTTCTAAATGTAAAGTCAAAAGCATAAGAAAGAAATGGGACTGAAAATAGGACACAAACGGGAGGTCATTATCCTAATTATGTCTGTCACATTTTATAAAAAATACGCAGCTAAGAAAACACAAAAACAGTGGTTTAGATTAGAACTATCATTCAGAGTTTCATAGATTTTCATAATCTGAGAATCAGGAGGAATAAAAATATACACATATAAGACAATGCAATGCATTTAATGACCAGCAAAGCACAACGCCTAGACAGCAAGACACACACAGTTACAAAAAGGACAGACTGGCAAAGTTCAAATTTGTATCAAAAAGCAGAAGAGACAACCTGAATGCCTTTCAGACACACACCTCATACGCAGAGAGTTCCAGAAATTTTGCTTTTCCCTCTGCTTTCTCCTTTTCCATTTCTAGCTGAAAAGTAGAAGTTTGTAAACATACTGCTACGACACTCAGACTCAAGAAACAGCCCAACCTTCAACTACACACTTCCTTCTATTTAAACAGAAATAATAAAATATTAAGAGATCATGTAGGTGGCTATCAGAAAACATTTTAGACTTCTACTCTGGTGCTTTCTATCAGGTAACAAAGTACAAAACACCCTGTGCTGTCATGATATCCATGACTAACTTTTTGTACTCATGGGTACAAACCGCCTGTGCTGTTAATTCCTATCCCCAGGACTGGTGTCTCCATCAGAATTCTGGGGGGGGTTAACCACAGGTCAGTTTACATGGCACCAGGCCTGCTGGCAGAGACGGAATAAGACTGTCCCAAAGCAGGAAAAGGGTCCTAACTCACTTGTTAGCAGGGCTCAGAGAGGACTTCAAACTACATTTGAAGGTAACAGGGAAAAAAACACAGGCTTGCTAGAAATGAGCCAGGGGGTAGCATGCACTGTTCAAGGCCAGATCCAAAGGGCAACCTATGCTAAGTTCCACAGCATGGGCAACAAAGACAAAGAGCTGGAAACCATTTTGGAACAGGAAAACAGTAACACAGTCACCATCACAGAAGCGTGGTGGGACAATTCACATGACTGGAGTGCTGCAACAGATGGCGACAGACTCTTCAGAAGGTATAGGCAAGGAAAAAGAGGTGGTGTGCTATGTCAGGGAACATCTCTGTATGCATCAACTACCTGGAACTTTATGTCATGAGTGAGAAGGCTGAATTTTTGCGGGTAAAGACCAGGGAGGAGGCCAACCAAGGTGATACCCTGGTAGGGGTCTGTTACAGACCACGCAGCTAGGATGAAGCTACAGATGAAGTGTTCTTCAAACAACTGGGACAAGTTTCAGGATCCCTTGCCCTTGTTCTCATGGGGGACTTCAATCTACCAGATGTCTCCTGGAAGCACAGCACAGCAGAGAAGAAGCAATCCAGGAGATTCTTGAAGGTGTGGAAAATAACTTCCTAACACAGCTGGTTAGTGAGCCAACTAGGGGAGATGCCTGGCTAGGTCTGCTGGTCACCAAAAGAGAAGGACTGGTGGGTGATGCGATGGTTGGAAGCCAACACAGCAATCACAAAATGATTGAATTTTCAGTCCTTGAAGAAGTTGGGAAGACGGTCAGGCGTTTAGCATGCTGGTTGGCAGAATTCCTTGGGAAACATTACTGAAGGACACCGAGTCTGAGAAGGCTGGACATTCTTCAAGAATGAAATCCTTAAAGTGCAGATGCAGGCGGTCCCCATGGGTCAACAGTCAAACCAGCGGGGAAGAAACTGATGTGGCTGAACAGGGAGATATTGCTGGAACTCAGGAGAAAAGAAAAAATTGTCACCTGTGGAAGAAGGGACTGTCACCCCATGAAAAGTACAGGGATGTTGTTAGGTTATGTACAGAAAAAGTTACAAAGGTGAAGGCACAGGAAGAACTAAATATGCCACTGCCACAAAAGATAAGGAGTACTTTTACAAATATATTAGCAATAAAAGGAGGGCCAAGTAGAACCTCCATCCTCTACCAGATACCAGGGGAAACGTAGTGACTGAGGATGAGCAAAAGGTCAAGGTACTTCATGCTGCCTTTGCCTCAGTCTTTAATAGTCACACCACCAATGCTCAGGATACTCAGTCCCTAAACTGGATGACAGAGAGGAGCTGACTGACATCCTCATAATCCAGAAGGGGATGGTTAGTGATCTCCTACTCCACTTGGACATACACAAGTCTATGGGGCCAGATGGGTTACACCCTAGAGCTGAAGAAGGTGGCAGAGGAGCTTCCTAAGCCACTCTCTATCATTCATCAGCAGTCCTGGTCTGGTGGGCAGGCCCCAGAGGATGGGAGGTTGGCCAACATAAGACCTCTCTAAAAAAGAGGGCAGGAAGGAAGATACTGTGAGCTACAGGCCTGTCAGCCTGACCTCAGTGTCAGGGAAGGTCATGGAGCAGATGATCCTAAGTGAGATCATAAAGCACACGTGGGAAAATGGAGAGATCAGGCCCAGTCAGCATGGGGTCATGAAGGGCAGGTCTTACTTCAACAACCTGATTTCCTTCTAGGATAAGGTGACCCATCAGGTTAATGAGGGAAAGGCTGTGGACACTGTCTGATGAGACCTTAGTAAAGTATTCAACACTGTCTCCCACAGCATTCTCCTGGAGATGCTGGCTGCTCATGGCCTGGATAGGTGCATTTTTCACTGGGTAAAAAGCTGGCCAACTCTAAAGACGGGTGGTAAATGGTGTCACATCTAGCTGGTTTTCCTCACTGCTTTGCTCTGCAGACAGTCTTGTTTAGTATCTTTACAGATTATCTGGATGAGGGGATTGAGTGCACCCTCAGTAGATTTGCAGAAAACACCAAGGTGGCAGAATGTGTTGATACGCTGGAGGACAGGATGCCTCTGCAGAGGGATCTAGACAAGCTGGATAGAGAGGCTGTGGCCATTAAAATGTTTCAAAACTGTCAAAGACTCATCTTACATCAGTTTTCTCACTACAAAATGAAATTATATTATTTATAATACTTGAAGGAAATGTTCTGTATAATTTTATGGATTTTTTCTTGTATTAGCACCATCGGCTTTCATGTTATCACAACAGTGGTTCCAAACACAGGCAGATAGAAGTTACTGTGCTCTCTTCAGAAAGATGCCACCCACATGACAGAGGTACCCTCTCAAATTCAAACTCCACTGAATTATTGTCACAACAGCCGCAATGTTGTCGCTGACAGTCTTCTGAGGAAAACCCAAAGCTGTGCACATCACACTATGAAAGAGGGCTGTAAATGGCAGAGGTTACTCAGGACTCAAAACATTCCTGCTGGAGTGTTAGCACTGTCCCACAGACATAAAATCTCAACAGAAAATTTTAGAGGGAGCTGCAAAAAATTATATTTTAGAAATTATTAAAAAAACAAAAGCAAAACCAAAACAAACAACAATCTTGACAGTTCCTCTTTTTGCTTCCTTTACCCAATCATTTGTTTTACATAAAAACCTGCAGGAAAACTTATTCATTTAATTTTAAATGAATGCATTTTGCTTATTTATACCAATGACAAAGTATTTATTTTCTCAACATATCTAAAACCTAGAAGATGAGCCTGAAGCTCTCCATGGAACACTGTAATACACTCGAGGGAATTTCATCTTTCGCAGAAGAAATGCTTGAGCAACTAATTGTAACCTTCAAAAGTTTTGGTAGCATTTCTATTATAACTGTTACATCTCTGGATGTGTGTGCTGTCCCAGGAGCATTGTTCTAGATTGATGAGCATCTTTATAATGAAATGCTCAATTACAGCTTTGAAATAGGTAATTATAATGGAAGCATGTATTTTCCAGTTAGGGATTTTGTTTTGATTTTTTTTTTTTTTTTAATTATCAGTGTATGAAAGGCAGCTGTAGAAGTTCTGACTGCACTGTCGCCTCTTTGGAAAGAAACTATGTTTTGTTGTTCTCACTGTGCATAAGCTAAACTGAATTGCTAGTTATGACTGGTATGGGAATTTTATTTTCAACTGTCAGGGTGTGCAGCCAGCTGTAACCAATTTTTCAATATTTTGAAAAGCCTCATTTGAAGTATAAAGTCGCAAATTACTTTGGGACCTTGTCAGTCAACAGAAAACCCTTTCACAACATTCCAACTGTATTTCTTCGCTGTAAAAGAAAAAAAAAAGAAAAAAAGAAGTGTAAAGAAAGCTATATAATATGGATATTCTGCGTAACTTCAGCAGCATATATAAACACAGCAAAAATATTCTGGGGGTATGTCTAAGTTTGGGCTAATATTTCAAACTCTCTTATGTATATTATGTTTTGAGGACAGCTGCATCATCTTAATGTTGTTAAGAACAATTTCTGCCAAGAAAAGCCACTCATTTTTCCTGAAGGTTAACAGCAACTGAGGGTGTGGGGAAAGTGGTTTTAATTTCCAGGGTCAGAAGTCAGGAGAAAAAACTATAAATACTTCCTTTCCTTTGTACTCTGCATGCTGTAGCTCACCATCAATTCTAAGAGGTTTTCTACTGAAAAAACTTATTCAGCTGTTGGGATGATGTGTTAGTTCGTATTGCTTTGTCATCTCAGGTCCTAGAAAATACACTAGTATCAGAAGAATTACGTATTTATTTATCATTTATTTTTAAATTAGTGTAACAGGAACATTTGAATTAAGTAAAAAAAAAAAAAAAAAAAAAAGGATATATTCCAAGCTATCTCTAACCCCTTGATATCCAGAACCAGAATTCCTCAGCCCTAATTTCTGCCTTCTAATAGATCCAGCACTGCTGCCAGCACAAGATTAAACATAGTTGTATAAAACATTACACGCAGGTCACATGTTGAAAGACAAGGAGAAGAAAAAAGTAGATACACTTTGTCTTAAACATAATTTTAAACTCAAAAAGGCAATCCTGTTCATCTACAGGTACCTGTGGATGACTCCATCACGCTTTTCAATGTCCACAGTGTGCACACTGTTTCTTTACTCCACATTAGAAATTTTCTTCACACAAGTAATTTTCTATTTGTTAGCACTAGTTGTTAGCACAGGAACAAAGGACTACCTCTATAAATCATGTGACTTTTACGTCTTCATTTTTTAAAGACTGGACCCAAAAAGGAAACATTTGTTTCAAACATCACTTCTATTAGAAATTGCTGGTATACAGTATTATGACTCATATTCTGAATTCTTTAAATGCTCTTTCAACCACCTCAACTATGATAGTTTCAATGTCCTTAAGCTGCTTTATTGTAAAGGTACAGTTAACAAAAAATCTACTGACACACTGTCCTGACTCCTATTTTGCTTTCTCTTAGGTGGTCTTTTAGCTTCATAATCATTGCTGTCATGCTCAGTAGCTCCCACCTTTTGCTCACAGTGACACCCAAGAGGCCTTAAACACTGAAATCCTTTGGCAATTAGGCACATTTAAAAATGCAGTATAGAAAAGAGGGAACGAAGGATTGTGAAATTACGTTGGTAGTAATGTTTACATTAGACAGCAAAATACCAGCATACAGAACAGGTATGCAACTTTTCTGTAGTAATATCTAACTGCACACACACACAATAGTGTCTACTCCTTTGCCGTCACTTTGCAGTTAATCAGTGGAAGTAATGTGAATTACAGCTTATTAATGGATCTGCAATGAAACAAATCATAGCAAACACTACCTGCATCAATACACTCCGGAAAAGGGATTCTTTTCTGACTCAGTATCTGACATAATGTTGGAACCTAATCCTAACTGAATCTTAAGATACCCAATATTCCAGTTACTTACAGCAAAGTCAGTAATAATCAAAAGAAACTGTAATGTTTAAGTAGCTGAGGTAAATGACTGATCTCTCCAGTGCCTCACAGGAGAGTCCTCTCGATGAGTAGTGTTTGCAGCTCTTCAGATTAAAAAGACCACCACTTTTAAGCAGACAAATGCATAGGGATATACTGTAAAATACTAAAACACTAGTTAAGTAGTGACTTTGAAAATGCATGTGTAAAAGAATTCTTATTTTCCCACCTGAAACAACTCACATGTCCACTTTGCAATAGGATGTCAGTCTTCACCATATCTATGCAGAACACATCTATACTGCAAGAAGCAGGAATTAATCAACTGACTACAAGTCAGCTTTTTGACAACAGAACCTATTTGACTGATTTATGCTTTTTTTCTTTCTCTTTTTTTTCCCTGACATTCTTGCAGACCTTTTATTATGGAAAAAAAAGTAAAAAATATATCTATTAGCAAGACTTCCTCTTGTCGTGGTGCAGACAAATACATTCTACCAGCTCTTCTAATGAACTAGGAACTGAAAAGGCAACTTTTATCTTTTCCCTAAGGTGATTTCAGCATGTCTCTTTTGAGCCAAACACTAATTCAGAATTTTTATTGATGCTTAGAGTATGTATGGGGTGATACTTTATACATATCGATACCATATTTACTTATAGAGAGATATACAGCAGTATGTAGATACATTTACTTTATATCCTTAAATCATCATAATAAAATCTAAAAACAACTACAGAAAAGGGATTTGTTTCAGGGTCAAAGCCTTTTACATAGCTTAGTCATAGTAAAATAGCTGTTTTATTATTCAACTTACTTGAAGTGTGAATGACAGACCACAATACAGACTGCCTTGCTGGCAAAGCTCACTCTGTCTCAGAGAAATTACCTGCGCTTCACAATATTCACTGTCCAAGCCCAACACGATGAAAAAGGTAGACATAAAGCTGTATTTAAGAAATATATTACATGTATTACATGTCTTTCAAACAAGAAAAATTGCAGTGGATGAATCTGGTAAATATTACCTCTTTCCTATTGCTCCTGCTTTTGTTAGCAGTTTCTTCTGGATGATTTTTCAGAGTGCTTCTACTGTGCTCTCATTCTAAAGAACCTAAATGGTCTGCTGAAGTACTAGCAACTGCCTGTGACATGACAGCAGATGCAGTATACAAGAAATGGAAGTGATGTGTACATAAACATTTATGTTTATTTACATTATATTTTAAATGCTGTAGTAAAACTGTAAGGAGTATATGTAATTATTTTTATTATAATACCTATAGCATTTAAAATTATTATATATGCATTATATATGTATAACAAACACCTAAATATATTTATTTATTTTAAATCATGACAAATCACTTAGGGATATGCCCTAAGTTATTATGAGAGTTTTTTCCTGACCTCAGAAAAGAAACAGTTAACTTATACAACACTAATGTTAAAACCTGGATTTGCAGTAAGCACAAACAGCTTAACACAGAGAATCTACTGGAAGGAGGATTTGCTTAGCAAAATGAGCTAGCAAGACAGGCTTAAGTTTCCCAAATTTGGTTTAGGCCAGGATTTTAACTTGCTGATCTTCAAGCTTAGAAAAAGCCTTAAGAGTATCTAATGCCCTTACGTAGTGCAGAGATCAATCTCTCTCCTTGGTATACCTGATGTCAGTCTGGGCTTTTCATAGGGTAACATGAAAACCAAACAAAAAAAAAAAAACCAAGAATAGCAGCCCAAATCTTAAACATAAATACCCAG